TTTGTCTCCATTATGAATTGTACTTCACTCCAAAGACCATTAGGAGCTTGAGTTTATAATATGTGCAATAAGAGATCTCTTAATATTGATAGGCTATAATCACTAAATGAGTATGCATGTCACCTAAGTTCCCTTTATAAAAGATTTATTTAAAATGTATTTAGTCAGAAACTCCTTGGTTTTATGATGCCTCTTTTTAGTGCTTTGAGCTATCGACCTTGGGGAAGATGGTCTCAATTCACTACTGCAGAGGTGTATATTATCTATGGGGTTCTTGTTTTTATTTATTCACTCATGCAAATCACATTTAGTGCAATATATGTATTTATTGCAATATTTGACAACTTGCAACTTCCATTTAGTGCAATATATGTATTTATTATTCAATATGCATCTCACATTTAGTGCAATTTATGTATTTATTGTAATACTTGTTTTCAACCATATGCATTATGTATTTCACATTTAGTGCAATATTCATATTAATTGTAATATTTGACCATATGCAACATACTACTTACATTTAGTGCAATATATGTATTTATCATGCAATATGCATCTCACATTTGGTGCAATTTATTGTAATATTTGTCTTCAACCGATGCATTGTGTATTTCACATTTAGTGCAATATTCATATTTATTGTAATATTTGACCTTAGTGCAACATGCTACTTACATTAAGTGCATTATATGAGTTTATTGTAATATCAGTCTTCGACCATATGCATGACACAATTCACATTTAGTGCGATATTTGTATTTATTGTAATTTTTGACCATATGCAACATGCTACTCTCATTTAGTGCAATATATGTATTTATTATGCAATATGCATCTCACCTTAGGTGCATTATATGTATTTAATATAATGATTGACAATATCATTCCATGAACTGCTTATTTATGCCAAACTGATTTATCAGACTGACTTTATATCATTGGTTATTCATGTATAAATTTTTACCAGGGACATTTTTTGTCTCTGTCTTTATGAATGTTGACCCAAGCTGCCCATTGGGGGTAGTAATGGGTGACACTCAGATATATTGTATACTGTGTCTCATAAGTCGGCACCGGCTGGTGATGTTACAAAATGTTGTTTTTATTATGTATTTTATATGTATATTGTAATATCAGTGACACAAAAATAAACTATTTTAAACTAAACTAAACTAAACTGTCTACAACCATTCTCCCAACTGGGCATATACAACACCAACGAGTGATTGCATCAATACTTTTACATACATCTGGATCTGGGTTATACTCCGCCCTGGACTATTTAACTATTTAAGTTATGTGTAAAAAGATGCTGCCTAAAAATGAGATCACATCTCGTTTTATTTAAGACAATTTCTTTATCTCTGGATAGGTTTAATCTTGGGGTTGTGAATTCTTTCTTTTTCCCATTCAAAAATGTTCTAATTTTATACTTAAATGAGTTGCGTGAGTGTGCTTGTTTCAGTTCATCAGGTAAATTATCCCATAATTTAATACTGGATAAAGCTGTAAACTTTAACTTTTAAATTTTAACTTTATCATTCAGTTCCGTTTGCTCTGGGCATTTAATTAGCAAACGTCGTTTTCCAGCCTACTGATTGTGACTTACAGTATATTTCTTCTGCACAATAACGTTGTATGATCAGCCAGTGAACTGTGATATTGTAAAAAATATTCAGACACAAAAATGACGCCTGTTACATGAAGATAAAATGATTGTACAACAATCATCTCATATGGATGTATTGAAAGGAATTCCATGTTATTATGTTGCTTAGAGCCATGGTAAAGATATATGCTTCTCTAGGGGTCATGCTCCAGTGCAAGCATACATATTAGTTCATGAAAAGACCTTGTGAATAAAGAAAATATACTCAAATATATAAAACACAACTGTCACGATCATTGTAAAGATTTTCAAAATGGCTGACATCATTTTATTTCATGTTGAAAATTGCAGAAAAGTTCAATTTTTGCACAACACCTGGTCCTTACCTAGATTTGTACATATCTCAAGAAGTACCTTAGAAGTACAACATTCCCTTACTACATATAACTTTCTAGGTAAGAACCAGGCGTTATATGAACAAAGCAAGAGTTTATCATGACCTTCCTCTCTCTAACAATAAGTAGGTCAACACAATTGCAAACATAACTAATCCCTCCTTAATGACTATTGAAATATGACTATTTATATGTATAAAATATTGATCCAATGAGTGTATATAGTGACACAATCAAACAATGGGACATTTGCCAAGTTGGGTTTATACATTCTGGAGACATTTTTTTGAGACTGATAAAAAATTCACATTTTCACAGGAAGTGATACATACCTCCCAAATCAACCAAAATATGCTTATATCAGTAATCTTAAATGTTTTTTATTGCCATTTCTTGAAAATGTACATATTTATCTACAATTTGGTCCTACATTTCAAGGATATAAACGACATTGCATTTTTCAAAAAATGTAAAGTGACCCAAGGGGTGTCTATAGCCATTCGTTCTTTGAAATAAATCTGTTAAATTGTTTTCCTGGAATCGCGATGACAAGATTTATCTAAAACCTTCCTAGATGGCCACCAGAATGCAAGATGGCTGCCGAAAAGTTAATCAGCTCTAGAACTTCTTACCATGTAACATGTGTGACATTTTGAAGTAAATCTGTTTGATTTTCCTGAAATTGCGATGACAAGATTTATCTTAAAACTTCCAAGATTGCCGCCAGAATGCAAGATGGCCACCGGAAAAAGAATGAGCTCTAGGACTTCTTACCATGTACATGTGTGAAAATTTGAAGTAAATCTGTTCAGTGGTTTTCATCGATCGCGATGACAAAATTAATTAAAAAACTTTCAAGATGGCCACAAAAATGCAAGATGGCCGCTGAAAAGTTAATCAGCTATAGAACTTCTTACCATGTAGCATGTGTGAAAATTTGAAGTAAATCCATTTGGTTTTCCTGAAATCATGATGAAAAGATTTATCTTAAAACTTCCAAGATGGCCGCCAGAATGCAAGATGGCCACCGAAAAAATAATGAGGTCTAGCACTTTTTACCATATAGCATACTGTGAACATTTGAAGTACATCTGTTGCCTGGTTTCTCTGGATTCGCGATGTTAAGGTATGAGTACCGTAATCCAACACCAAATTCAAAAATTCATATCAATACTTTGCACATATGGCGTTCGTGATCAACTTTAAAACGCTTACCCCCATAGTGTTATATATCAAAATGTACCTGTTCATATAGGGGTTCGATTGATCTACATCAAATTATAGGGAGTCAGGTTACTTTTTGAGATATCAGCGTCCATTTATTGTAACTCGCGTTTGCTACCATTTCCTTAAATCTGAGATGATCGGCAAACGCGTAGTAAATATGCTCACGTCGGAACTTTTTTTGACCTACATCGCTATTTTCGTAATTCAAATGAATGTTGAACTCCTCTTCTTTATTTTGATACCAAATAGTGGCATACTAGGTAGGTACCCTAGAAGCCAACTATGGTGTTATTTAGAACAATACTACAGGTTTTTAAATGGACTATATAGGGGTCATACCTTTTGGCGGATGGATATGGACCCTCATACCTTAATGTTTTATGACATCACACTGATTTTTGTCTCTGCAACTTTTTTTGGCATATAATATCATTTTTAGTTCAAAAATGCATAAACACGTCGGAACTGGCTGAATATGTAAAAAATTTATCCATTCAGGCTAGAAAGGGTTAATTTGCCCTACCCAAACTACGTCTAAATATGCTAGTCTAACTTTGCCACTGTGACGTCACAAATCTAACCTGACTATCTCTGATTTTATTGAAGAAAATGATACGTCTGACAAACAGCTTTCATTCCCTATATGGCACACCTTCTACTAAGAGTTGCTTCATTGACTTAATCTACGACAAAGGCCCTATGTCCCGAGGATTTTGACTGAAATTTGGCCATTTTCGCCCAAATCTAAGTAAATGGCAGTTTCCCCCACAGCTGTATTTTGAAATAAATATTGCTACAATGTAGCAATTTAAAAATCACACATGCTTACTGTTTCTGTTGACCTGACACGTGTATCTAGCCTGTAAAAATGAAAAATCGCTACATTGTAGCAATTTCAGTGAGATATGGGCCCTCAAAATCATGTAATTTTAGCAAAAATGAAGAAATAACCTGCAGTTATGACAGAATTTCATAGGGCTCTCTTTCATTCATGACCTTCCACGGGCCTCTTATGACCATTCTTATACTCACAGAAGGGTTGGAAGTGATTTTAAATCATTATTTGGCCTACGCAGAACGAAAAAATCGATCCTGTTCTCAAATTCTGCTGAGATATTGGTCTCTGGTCAACTAGCAACTTTTGAACTCCTCCTCTTTATTTTGATACCAAATAGTGGCATACTAGGTACCCTAGAAGCCAACTATTGTGTTATTTAGAACAATACCTTTTGGCGGATGGATATGGAACCTCATACCACAATATTTATCTAAAAATTCCAAGATGGCCGCCAGAATGCAAGATGGCCGCAGGAAAGGTAATCAGCTCTAGAACTTCTTACCATGTAACATGTGTGAAAATTTGAATTAAATCCATGTGGTGGTTTTCCTGGAATCGTGGTGACTAGAACGTGAGACTTCAGAATGCCACCTTGTCTAACCCCATTTATGTGCCTTTTGCCACTGTTTCTATCAATATAAGAGGTGTTTTCTTTATGAGGGAAGTATGTTCTATCTAACGGTTCAATCATTTTTTTGGAGAGTACCGGACAACAAAACTTGTTTTCAAAGGGACCAGATCAGGGACTAACATGTCCACTATGTCGTAAAAGTTTCATGAAGAAAAAAGCGAGAGAACAAAAGTTTATCAAAATTAGCGATTTAATTATTTCAAGGACTTGCTCGTCATCAAATAGAAAAATTTTCGACACATACTGTAGATCAGGAACGAGCAGAATAAACCATGTGACATAATCCATTGAACCTACCTAAATAGTGCATGTGTAGAACATTATTGAGTATGTGAATAGGGTAGGGAAGCATTTTTCGAGTACAACTGGACGAAGCCATTGCAGTTTCCGTGTGACTTTCTAATCCTGGTTTGATATCGAGGTAACGCTGACCGACTACAAAGGATCCAGCGTCATTGGGCCTCAAGTTTGGTGTGTAGAACAATGTTAAACCAGAACTGTCGGTGTAATGGGAAAGCAATTCGGGGTTATTCCAATGCATCTGCAATAAAATATTTAGAGTTTTTCAACGATCTATCGATTCATCATCCATTAAATGGAATATACGAGGGGTGATCCAAAAGTCTTGGACGCCCTGCTCTAATTTTGTTGGTTTTTGATAAAATTACCTAAAACTTTTCAATAATAAAGACCAACAACCTAACTACTTTGTGTATTCATTTCATTGAGAAATGATATGTTTTATGTAGTTTTTAATTTGGGGACCCTGTCACCCGGAACGGTATTCACATATGACAACTTTCAGCCTTAAATGTTGCTTAAACATTTGACTTGTTCCGCAAGTCTTGTTGACCACTGTCCCTCTTTGAATTGCGAATGTTAAACCATGTTAGTTTACTTCCTTTCTTACCAGGCAACAATTTAATTGTGTTTTAATTATAATGTCACATATGACAATGATTATGTCAAATTCTAAGAAATGACATCAGACAAGCAACCCTCATTCTGGTATCATTTTTGCTCCAAAATGGCATGCTGAAATGCAGAACATGAAAGAAATCAAAATGGAACAAAGAATACTACAAGATAGTTTCACTATTTTTTACCTTTAGCAGCTACCATATGCACAATACAGTCTAGATATGGCTCTGTGTGATTTTCTTCCTTTTCTCGAATTTGAAAGGAGGGTTGAAAGAAAATGTTTTTTACTCATTGGATGAGTTTTAGAGTGGCACTCCAGCAGCACTTGTATCACGTAAGGAATGGCAGTTTCATAAATATCTTCCATTCATTGGTAAATCCATTGAAAGATGGGTTCACATTCGTTGAAAATATGTTGAAAAGTAGGTCTTAATATGTGAAGATGCTGATGGCAGATGACACTCAGATTGAAATCGGAAATTCTCTCATATAATGACTGGTGTTAGGTTGTGCACCCGCACCTAAATCATTTGTCATATTATAACAGTTGTGACGTGATTTCCTATATTTAAATACCGTTCCGGGTGGCAGGAACCCAGTGTTAAAAAATCTTTATCAAAAAGCTAAAATATATTATTTTCTGTTGAAACTTATACACAAAGTTGTTAAGATGTTAATCTTTATTATCTGAAATTTTGTGCAATTATATATGAGAATAGCAAAGTTAGAGCGGGGTGTCCAAGACTTTTGGATCACTCCTCGTACAGTCCATTTTACTATGAATTCACCTTAATGTTCTTCACTTTATGATTTGATTAGAATAGAGACCTTGAATACAAAACTGTACTCCTTAGGCAAACATCTTGATGTAATAATAATAATTTTGTATGAAAACAATTTTCATTATTAAATAAATGTAAATGTGCTATCAAAACTTTAGGTTGTTAGCTTTTGTAACACCTGTGTAAAGGAACCAAAGATATTTGGTATGGGTCAACGAATTACAAAGGGACTTTTATTGCTCATCTTTTTCATAACAACCAAGATGCGCAATCCTGAAAATGGAACAAAATAATATCATATTCTGAGAATGGCGCAAATCAGGGAAGCCAGGCGATTTGGGATAGACAAGAGAATGCATTGTATAAACGCGAGAGTAATACCCAGGACAGATGTAATGGCCAGTCCCCATCTGACCAGGACAACCAGTCGCTCATCAACATGGTCCAAGGGTGTAGTGCTGTGTAAGGATATTAACGGTTACCACTAATAGTGATTTGATCCCGGGATTTGATTTTCTGTATACAAAGTCATTTTCTCCTTCCCTACCCCATCAGAGTGCCACCTGGCGTTTGGTAAGTGATTTGGGGCTCAATAGATTAATTTGATATCCAAATGAATGTTAAAAACCTTCTTACACACTTACACTTCTTAAACGTACACACTTAATGTAACTTTAATCAGTGGAGGAGGGTGCCCCTCAAGGGAGGTACATGGGCCGACCAGGGGACTATCCTCTAGCACTGATGAAATATAATTAATATCTAGCTATTCTGGATGAACAGTACCAACCTTGGGGAAGGTACAGAGTGTAAAGTGTAATTTTTTTATTTTATCTTTTTTCTTCTTGTTCTAACTGGTAGTACCAACCTTTGGGAAGGTACCCTTTATAAAGCAGATTTATTTCTCTGAAATTGTATGTAGTCGTCTGATATAGTCGAAATATGAAAGCCCGATGTTGGTTCCTCTACAGATTCAGAAATGCAGGATAAAGCAATACCCCTAACCCAACACCCTAAAAGCAACGATAATATATTATTTTCATTTGATGGTACTTTTTTATTGACTGATGCTCATATTATTATGTGTTTATGATATCCGTAAATGATCATAACTGGATGTACCAACCTTGGGGAAGGCACACTACTCTATATGATTTAAAACTCACTGGACATTTAAGTAATTATTCTGAATATACCAACCTTGGGGAAGGTTTATTCTTCGTATGCATGTATAACTGTTTTAATCTGATATATTTTGTACAAACGTCAACGCAGTAGCTTGACGTTGGCAATTTATATGGATAATAATTTGTTTTGCTTGTTCGTTTGATTATTTGTACATATTGATCTTTTTATAATTGCATGAATGTATCTCCTTTTTATAAAGGGCAATAAATATATATATACTTCAGGTAGGTCCTAATTTATCTGAAAACTTGTCAAAGTCAAGTTGGAAATCTCATCTAAAGTTGGCGGCAGAATGATTTTGACCTTGATGATTTTACCAAAGCTGACGATAGAGGGGGTTAGTGTATTCAAGTAAATTTATCTCCAAATTTTTTTACATCCGGATATAGTCCTGAGTAAGGACACTAGCAGTTAGTGATTTTGTTTTCTGTATAAAAAGTCATTTTTCTCCTTCCCTTCCCCATTGGAGCGCCACCTGGCGTTTGGGAAGTGAATCGGGACTAATTATTTATAAGGTAGGTTCTAATTTATCTGAAAACATGTTATAGTTCAGTGGGAAATCTTATTTTAAGCTGGCGGCGGAGTGATTTTGACCTTGGTGATTTTACCAGAATTCTCTGAGAAATCTGACGATAGAGGGGGTTAGTGTCTTATTTTTTATTATTCATTACTTTATTTATTCATTTCAGTAAAATATTTTACACAAGAGCTCCTCGATCGCCTTTCAGCATTATAGAGGAGCTAATAAACACAAATAATATAATATAATAGCAAATGTGTGCTGGTCAGGCACATGAGTTTCCTGGGACTTGGAAGCCGGGTCGGTACTCGTTAGGTTTTGAGAGCCAAATTGTTGGTGTGAAGAAAATTTGCAACAGTTGTCAAAATAAGTGCATTATCTAGGGAGATGTCAAGACTTCCATGCTTAAATAAGTTCAAGTAGTAATTTTGATTTCTATGTTCAATTTGTGCTATTTCATTGATATCTTTAAATAATTTTTCTCTCTCTGCAGTTAATAGTAGACAGTGAAAGAAAACATGTTTCAAGGTTTGGGGAAGTCCACATGTACAATTAGGAGTATCAATAAAATTAAAGTTGTGAGCATATAACTGGGTTTTAAACAGGAGATCGGCTCTAAGTCGATTAATGATAATTTCATGATTTCTGGAGATGTTGAGTTGGCTTGTAGATATAGTTTGAGGTTGATCCGAAAAAATAACTTTTGTTTCTGTTTGAAGGTTTGAAGAGTTTTACAAAGTTTGATTTTATTTGGAAGGCTAAGCCAGCTAGAAATAGCGGCTGGAACTGCGGATTTACGATAGGTTTCTGAGCATCGGACAGGTAATCTGAATTCACGGTGTTCTCGAAGATCACGACCCCTAGGGTTACGGAATTTTTCAAAAATTTCATCAATGTATATTGGAACAGGGCCATTAACTATTTTGAACATTTGATTATTTATTTGAATTTTTCGCCAGGTTTCCAGAGTAGGCCACTGAAGTAGAGAAAGCACCTTATCGAAACTGCTTCCATGGAGACGGTCAGAGCAAGATAGTGCAGCTTGATAGTATAATCTGTCTAGTCTTTGAAGGAGGTACTTAGGAGCTGTATTATATAGGAGAGTTCCATATTCAAAATGTGGACGAATGAAAGAATTAAAAATAGTTTCAATGTGTTTAGAAGTCATCATATTTTTGAGTGCCTTTAATGGACCAAGCATTTTACTAATTTTGTCAAAAATATCATTTATATGATGTCTATGAGTTAGACAAGGGTCAAAAGTATAACCAAGATGTTTGTGCATATTAACTCTCTCAATTTCCATATTACTTAGAGTAAATGAACTAACAGTGTCTAGTTTCATTTTGGATCCGTGAAATATGATTTCACAACTTCTTTCAGGCTTAAACTGTAAGCCCCATGTTTTCGACCAAAGCTCAATATTCTGGAGACTCGAGTTCACAATATTATCAATTTGATGAGGATTCTTAGGATCAAAGGAAAATGAAGCGACGTATCATCCGCATAGATGTAACACTGTCCGTTTAAGTTATCAGGAAGGTCATTTATATAGAGGATGAAGAAAAGAGGACCGAGTATGGAGCCCTGAGGTACTCCACAGTTTATAAAGCCAGATTCAGTGGAGACTGATGAATCACCACCGATATGTACAAACATCTTGCTATCGCTAAGATAAGATTCAATAATTTTAAATAACTGTCCATGGATATCATAGGATTTTAGCTTATGTAGTAATAGTTTATGCGGAACTTTGTCAAACGCAGATGCAATGTCCAAAAATATTGTTTTAGTTGCTTTACCTTGATCAAAATTATATGAAAGAAAGTGCTCCATCGCCAGTAGCTGAGAATGAGTACTATGTCCGGGTAAGAAGCCAGACTGGTGTTTAAAAAGGAGTGCATTGGTCAAAAGGTGTTTTTTAATTCGGTCAGCTAGAATTTTTTCTAAAAAGTTATTGGTCTATAATTCGTAATATTGGTTTTGTCATTCTTCTTGAATATTGGGCAGACACTTCCAGTCTTCCAACAATTTGGAAATGTTTTATTTGTAAGAAGTTTATTAAAAAGTATTGAGAGTGGTCTTGAAATTGTATGAGCAGTTAGTTTAAGCATCTTATTTGTAATCTTATCTGGTCCACAAGATTTAGAAGGATCGAGTTGCAGTATAAATTTCATGTTTTCAAATTGATCAGTTTTAGCTGAAATGAGAAGAGAGTTTGTTCTAAGAGGAAAGTCAGGTAGTGGTCTATCATTTATGTCATCATGGTTTTTATTAACAAAAAATGTCAAGAAGGCATTAGCCTTTTCTAAATTACTTGTAAGAGGTGCACTAGTATTAGGGTCAAGAATGGTTGGAATGCCAGATAAGTTAATTTTTTTTTACCAAGAAATGATCTAATTATTTTCCAATAACTTTTGTCATTTTTACTTAGATTGTCCATAGTATTTAGAAGTCGTTTTTCATGAGAAAGTTTTGCTTCTTTAATGAGACTTGTCACATGCATGGCCTGCTTAAAGTATTGAGATTTATTTATATCTGTTGGAGATTTTGTCATTTTTTATACAGTCGTTGCTTTTTGTTTATTTCCAATTTCAGATGTTCATTTATCCACGGCTGGTCATTTGAACGAATTTTGATCGATTTATTTGGAATATGCTGCTGGTTAGTGTCTTCAAGATTATTCATCTCAAAAATTCGGTGGACAACCCATGGTAAGATTGTTCTAGCAGGCTAGGCGAGTCTCTTCCGAACACTTTGGTATATTGCACTAGCCTTGGATACTAATCGTTAATAAGATTCAGGGTAAATGTTATAATGGCCGTCTATGGGAAACTCTTCTGGAGTCTCTCTCGCGTGATGATGGTCTCAGATTGAAATAAACAATTTTGAATACATCATGCATTTCAGCTATATTTGACATTCTCCTTCACGTATAACAATCGATATAAATATATGTCGATGTGACGAACTGCAAAGCGTTTTCACGAATATTTTTCGAAACTGACAACCATGAAGTATTTAATCGTGACGTCACCAACTTCGTTTCCGGAAGCCGAGATCCAAGCAAGTTCTCGTGTACATAACATTGGCTTGATATATCGTAAAAGGAGGGAAAACCCCATGATTCAATTGATGACATACGATTTCCTCCTTCGCGCATCTCCTTTCCCGGAAGTACTTACCCTCCATCTTGGTTTTCAAAGTTTTTAAATTGACCTAGTTTTAAACCAATGAACGATCGACTCGCTAAACCAATCAGCTACGATGTCATCTAAATACAGATTTACATTATAAGCGTATGTCATCTTTGAACCCTGGGGTTTCTCCCCCTCTTATATATCGTCCTGAAAATGCGCAATAACATGTCCTAGACGTTGGGAGAATTTGATTTAATCAACGGACCAATGGAAATTCGTCCCACTTGAAGCGATGCATTGCGGGAGATATCTATGTTAATGACCTTGTTTTAGCCTGACCACGGTAAAGTCAGATACCGTTGTCACTAATGGCGGATAAAACCGTCGCTTCAACTGTTTAATCACTTGGCCCTCATTTCATGGGATTTTATCGTCGCTAATTCTGTGCATGCATTAAGCTCCTGTGATAATGTATCATATGGAATCCCATTTTCGATCAAATTTGGTCGTGAATCGCCACAATATAGCGTCTTCGATATCGTCAATGACAACGGAATCTGAATTTGAGTAATTCAGAAAGAACACGGCATATAGTAATTACAGTGTCCGTTGTCCCATATCTCATTTTGATCGGTTAAATTAAAGACTTTATTTCGATGGTAGAACATTATTTACTGTACAATGATTACTGTATTAAGATACTTTGATCGATTTTTGTTCCAAAGGAATTTAGTCTAGGTGCTCTATTAAACATACAGTTCATGAAAATCTAATTGAAGCGACGGTTATCTCCGCCATTTGTGACAACGGTATCTGACTTTGCACCATTGTCAGGCTATTCCGGGGTGTATTGGTCAATGTTGGTATTTCTCTTGACGAGCTGAATGAAGCATACCGTAGCTATTCAGTCCATGAATGGGCGCGGTTCGCACTTTACACTTAGAATGGACATAATTGGAATTAAAATTCCTTAAAGACCCTTCTAGTTTAAACCTCGGGTAATTTGCGAGTAGGAGTAAAGAATAGAATCCTCCGAGAAAGGGAAATGTTTAGCGAACGCATGACAAGACAAACCATAAAAATATTTCAACTATGGGCACAAGGATGTATAAAAGACATTGCCCAATGTATTTAAATACCTGCATGACTGCATATTTGTATCCGTGTTTTCCAATCCTGAAAGCTGCGCGTTCCGAGAAACACTGTCCTGGTAAGCCAGGACCCCAGCCAGTAATTAAATTGGTACAACCCGTGTCAACTTCACATAATGTTGGGGTTGCAAATTTAGTCCGAACGTCAGACTCACCACCCTTTAGATCCTCTGTGTATTAGTTGAAAAATATGAAATGTAAATTATAAGATCGGTATACATGAACTTAAATTGAATAATATTTGTTTGATGTTCAAATGATAAAGAAGATACTGTTAAACAGATTAAATATCAGTTAGGAAATAATTTTATGTAAAATATTTGTACCGTCTTTACATCCATACATGAGAATGTGATGCATAACGTAAGCATTGTCGATTTTTGGACTTGATGCAATAATATGATAGTCGCCATCCCCCGGTAGCTCCACCGCCATGCAATAATAATTCGTCTCTGTAGGAGGCACTCGTGTTGGCGGGAAACGAACACTGACCTTTCGAACGTCATCTTGAGAATCAAGAAAAATGCATTGATTTAATTTAATCAAAACGTTATTTGAAAATACACAATAAAATCTAGAAAATTAAATATTTTATTTGTCTTCGACGCTTTGCTTTTCAGTCTATATCTTAAATTTATACTTTGTATTTTCTGCTTCCTCCATTTTTGTTACAAGCAGTTGTGTTTTCCAGTCATAATATATGGCCCAAGGCACAGTATTGGCATTTAAATACCTTAAAATTTCTGTTCTGTTATGATTACATGTGATCGAATGCCGAGTGACTGCATTATATGTACAATAATATGAAATACCTGTTGCATCCATGGCTGGACAAGAGAAGACTTCGCTGTCACAGAATTCCCACTGATTGTGCGCCAAACATCTCTCCGAGTCCCAAGGCTCGCAAACACCTATATAACAGAATATAACAATTGCTCAATCTGCGATTGAGGGAGTTCACAATTACAGTTCAAATGTTCTACGATGTAAAAAGCGATGAAGTCCAATATATTTATCCCAACTAAAACATATCCATGGCATCAAGTGATTGAATTTATTCTTAATTTCCGATTCTACTTTTTGTACCTGGATGCGACAGTCCGCTTGTAATTTCAGGAACAGCTCCTTCGGTCCATACACAGTTTGGATCTCCGAGTTCAACACCATTTGTTTTTCCATCATTGTCCGAATCAGCGTTGCACAATCTAGAATTCCATACCTAAATGCAACCACACAACTACAGAAACAACATTCTATATATAGGTTATTTACTGGGAGGGATTGAATATGGGTTTAATACATACTGTTGGAATTCCTACAAAATGATAGCATTTTATAACCAAAACGTGTATGCGTTTCAGGAAACATGTTCACGATTTGAAACAACCATCCCTGCGAACACGGCACTCATTGGTCCTATTTTACATTGTTTATTTGAACGCAAGATTTGGAAACTAGGGTTAGGAAAGTGTCAATGCCATTCATTCATAGGACTGCTTCCTTTTTTATTATTAGTTTATTCTCAATCAATGCCCGTAGTCGCGTCCGGTGCTCAATTACAATTACGAAAAAGACCGACCAACCACCGACCGGCGTGTTTTCAATAGGTAGTCTTAAAGAGACTCTATTGAGGCTTCTCTGTGGCATTTTTTCTTTATTTCTTTTTGTTTTGAATGTTTAACACCATAACATTAACTAACTACTCAATATGCAACTTTTCACCACGTAGAATTTTAAAATATTAAGTTTGAAAATTCCATTTTTATAATGGAGCTCAATGGGAAAAACACACAATTTGAATTATTTTCAAACGTAGCGGCGCGATTTTCTTGAAATTGACAGATATAATAAATATTGGTAAGGCGAAATGTTTGAAGAAAAATGAAGAAAATTCACCATCCTGGTCCATAAAAACCTGTAAAAATAGATTGAAGGGGGTGATATTCATTTTTAATGTGCCTCTCACTACTACAGGGTAACCATAGTTTTGGTAATGGTTTATTAATTTTAAAAGCATATCTTCCAGCATGTGTAGCAAGCGGAAGTAATTCAATAAGTGAGTTATCATTAATGGTATTATTGTATTATAGTTCTTACCATCAGATCGATCGATTATAATGCATTTTAAACAATATGGCAATAGATCTTCAAATTCAAGAATTGAGCTAAATTGTAAGATAATAAATAAATTGCTAATCCCTTATAACTGTATAACCCCCTTCTCCGAATCATACTGAATTATAATATTTCGATATACTTATTTTAGCTGCTGTAGTTTAGATCACTTGATGAGATATTCAGTAACATGCTAAATAATCACTCGTAATAAGCAATATGAATTCTTCAACACAATCATTTTCAACAGCTTTTTAACACAATCATGAATTTAGTGATCTGACCCTTAAAATACTTTTCTGGGGGAATAGTTTGTCCACCTGTAGACGTGTAGCATCAGTAGTATAGTGTGCGTATTTCATGGTTCCGTCCTATAGGACCCGATAGGACCCGATGATGAAATCTGATGAAATATGGGATTCCCCAACGTTTCTCGATCGTACCCCAACGTAATACGGGATTCCCTAACGTTTCCCGAACGATCAGACGATTTCCGAACGCTTTAGTGACGCAAGAGTTGACTTCCGTGGATGACTGATTGGTCGCTTGACTTCCGGAGTGAGGTCAGTGTGAATTTTCTCGGATGAGAAGCTCTGCTTGGTCAAATACGAATGATACAGTTTCGTAAAAGTAAAACGATTCTCGAACGTTTAGACGATATCCAAACGTCTTTTTGACGTCAGTGTTCCGTGGATGATTGATACTCTCCGATCGTTCGGTTGACTTTCGGAGACAATTGATAAGATAATAAAACCAAATGACAAATGATTTATCTGTTACCTATTACCTCTATAAAAAGTGACCATATAGCCTAGATTATAAAATACAAAATGGATAGAGGTTTGGCACTCATTACAATGAATATGGAAATAGATAGAAACGTTGTTACTACATATTTGTTCTTTGTTTGCCTAGCATGGGAATACCATCACAGCAAGAAATCTGTATGTCACATATCAACATCCTACCAACGTTTCTCAAACGTATTCTCCGACGCCGGGTGAAATACAAGATTTCCTACACCCCCACAATTCCAACGCCCCCATCCCTGGTCATATAGGACCTACTGGATGATAATGTTCAACGTTTCTCGAACGTATTCTCCAATGCTGGATGAAATACGAGATATCCTACACCCCCACGCGTCCGTAACCCCGACAAACTATGGACTTTACTTTCTACATTCCAAAATTAGGCAATGGAACAAAGTCGTAAAGCTAGGCATGCGAAATTCTCTGTCATTTTTAAAGACATAATAGGATACTTTTGCTTTGATTTTGAATAGGCAAAACGTTTGTAATGCGTTTCAGAGTATTCGCTTCGTCATGTATTCTCTAAACTATTGATGTATAAGCTAGCTAAACACATAAATTATTTGATCATTCTTGGCATATATCTGAAGATTAATTACCCAAATATAACTATTTTGGTCCCAGTTCTCAGTTCAAAATCATTAAAATAAGTACATAGTCTCACAACAACGGGACAATAATGTGTTATAAAGTTCTGAAGAAATCTGATATTTTACAAAAATAAAGAATCCTGAACGAAGTGGCGAGATTCATGTAGAAAAGAATCAAGACAATTCTTATATAACTACTTTAAGATGTATTGTTGTTTAGACTCGATAAAATGGAAGATGCTTACTTAAATTTTACAAGCAATAGTCAGCGTTTCTATGGATTGAAAATCCCTATAGTGAAATGGATATTTATACATTAAATGACACGGGAAATTACAGCAAACATTAAAAAATATAGTTCTTCGTATGTACACTACATGCTCGGATTTTTTTGTTTTTTCTTAGCGCAGTATGGGAAATACCATCACAACAGGAAATCCGGAGGTCAAAGCAACCCACATTAACATAATACGACAGCCTACGTCACTCAATGTCTATCCTGGCTGTTTTGCCCATCCAGACAATGCTTTCACAGAGTTAACTTCCGCAATGATATAAATAGATGTCAGTGTGATTAAGTACAGAAAGTTAAAAATTCGATTCCTCAATATAATATTATATATAAGGCTGATAATAGTTTCAACGCATTTCTTCCCCGTTCACATTACTATAGACATCACAGGACCATGAAGCTGGTACCCTATGTAGACAATGCGGAAAAGTGGCACAGGTTAATCAAAGCAGCCAGAGAGAATAGACTGTCGACGCAAGTAGGCTTCGGAAAAAATCGTGCGAGCTACGTATCTGTCAGCGCCATCAAAGAACCCGTTCGGGTGATATCTCCGATGCAAGCAGTTGTTGACAGAGCTAAAGCCCAAATAGAGCATCAAAAAAAGAAGGTGGAAGAAAATGATCCCTATCATACTAAGGTGTACAAACTTAAGAAACCGCGTAAAGATGCTGTTTCCAAAGCAGTGTTTAAGAAGAAAAACATTAGAAAAACCAGATTGGACTTGTATAGACCACCAGGTATCCCTGCGAGAGGGAGGAAAATGAAATAGGACTGATATAATTGTCATTTTTCTATTTTGAATTAGGCAATAAAACAGTGATAAACGTATATTTTTCTAGTTTTGTTATTATAAGAAACATTCATTATATCATAATAAATAACTTTCTTACATATAAGGGAGAATTTGCTTGTAACAGCATTGTGGAAGGGAGTGTATATCCAATACTTCAGAGGTAGCACGCTATAATTCTAAAAGAGGGTAGATTAATTTAAGCAAAAACATTTATTTATTTATTTACTAATACTCGTACAATGTGTTTCTTTTAGATCCAGTCTGCTGGGTATATCATCGATTGTCCTCATTTCTCTCGCTATCAGATTCATCTTCGCTCGTAGAATGTTTTTCATTATCTGATTGTTGTTGTTGTTCATCACTGGACTCTTCACTTGTAGATTCATCATCAGCGAACAATTCTCCAGCCAAATATGAATATTTGTTTAATAGTGTTTTCTTGACTGCTCTTGATTGAGTCATGCCTTTCGCCAATAGTACCTCCACTTCATCCATAATATCACGATGAACTTCACTGTACCTTAACCCCAGTATATATGACAGAAGCTCTCCATAGTGTTTCAAGAATAGCTGTCTGGCACCAAACACAGATTTCTGTCTGACTCTTTCAACCGCTTTTTTGGATGACATTCCTCTTTCTTTATATTTCTCGACCAGTTCATCCCAATCATCTTGTAGCTCATCGATGACTTTTTCTTTAATGCAATTCAAAGTTACATTATCCTTCAAGTCTTCAGTATGGAAATCACATCTCATGACATCGTTTTCATCACTTTCCCTCAATTCGGGACAATGCCTTCTGTGTTCCCTCACGTCGAGTGGTGACAACATCACTACACCACAATCCGTACAATGAGGGGTAGACATTGTCGTGGCAGATATGTTAGGTTGATTGTTCATTGTGTAACCAATACTTGGATTCATTGTGTTGTACATGGTTGGATTCGCCATATAGTACATCCTCGGATCAGGATTCATCTTTGATTCTGCAGCGATGGGTGTTGTACTGTAGTTTGCTCGGTTGATATTATCGAATGGTTCTTGATTTAAATTTTCGCCTCTACTTATATCCACGCTATTACACGGCACTGTGCTATATATTGGTGTTTGGTCCTCTTTGCCGTGAGAATAAAGTGTCGAAGATACGCCTATTGGTTGTTCAATAGTAGCTGCAGCAACATCGTACAATCTCATATTTTCCGGAGTTTCTTGTTTCAGATCAACCAGTAGATGTCCATATGGGTGTTGAGTAGCCTTTTCGTAAGCATCCAATAATTTCTTCGAATTTCCAGGATACATCTGATGGGCTAATACGGCCACCTGTTGGCGATCCCTAGGATTTTTATACAACACTATGTAGTGGCAGTTTAGGCTCATAGTTCTGCTTTCACGACCATGATGAAATAGATTCTGCATCAGACAGATGACACTCAAATTTCTATGGTGAGAACCCTTAGTGTAAAGCTCAGAGATTCGCTTATCTTTAGTCATATCAGCCATTAGATCGTCGAAAATGATTAGATTTCTAACATTGACATCTAGGAAACTTTGGTCACCCAATGACTCTGGAATTCCCATGATAAATTCTATATTTTGAAAGCGGGTCTTTATTTCGAC